CTCTCTCCGGTGATGATCTTGGACTAAACGCAATATTTAGTCTTGGTATGTTTATCTTGGCTAACATTGATAAAATCGTACTAATAACTGACTTTGTAATTATTGTAAAATATTAGTTGTTGAAACTCATTTTGCTCACAAACTGCAGATCTATTCATGCCATCATTCCTTGTGTGGGATACAATTATGTGAAATTTCACAATATAAGTATCACGGGAGGGAAAAACGTAAATTCTAATTGTTCCATCCTATTTCTCGTACCGATTGATATGGGATACACGTGCAACACACGTGATTAAAAACTAGTTTTAAAATTAACTTGAAAGCTAATTAACTTTTAACATTCTCCTTTTCCCGTTGACATGACCAGATCTGGGTGAGAAGAAATTGGGTCAATTTTGAGTTCCCTTCGCAAAAAATTTTATATGAAAATAAGGCAAAATAATTTGTTTAGTATATAAAATATGTTGAATCTGCTCAACAAACAAGATTCCAGGCAGTGGTAAAGGTGGTTCTAGTTACTCCAAATACAAACTATGATATTTTGTCAATGTTTTTGATCATTTTGCACAAATTTCTCGCTCCGCCACTAATCACATTAAATATTAGGTAATACTATTTGTTTTTTCTCTCTACATTTAGCTTATGTATTAAGAGTTTAATTTCTTTCTCATAAACTCAGAGCCGCAACTAGCTCACAAATTCTATACCTTTCATGTCCTCTCTTATTTTCTCTTCTACTTTTTAACAAGGCAAAATGCCCTCGTGGTCACTTAAATTTATACCCGTTTGTTAATCCGGTAGACAGACTTACACCTTTTCCATTTGAGCACTCCAACTTGACATGAGAACCAATAAATACATCCAACCGAGCGTGTATATCAATTGCGATGACATGTAAAACACATCATATGCTAGACTATTAATTACTTGACATGTGTTATTTGGAGTCCATTACTCAAATGGTCACTCAACTATCCCAAATTATCCACTAAAATCACTTTTCTTTTTTTTGTAACAACAAAGTCACTTAACTATGCATATAGCACTCAGAAGGTCACTCAACTAGATTTTCCAAATTTTGGATTGTCAAATACCTATTTTACCCTCTAAATTATAAATATTTATCTTCTTCTTTATTTTTTTAACTTTTTAATATTATGATTTTCCCCTTTTTAATTTATATTATGGACTTACCTATATAATAAATAAATTTTATTTATAAATTTAAAAATAAAAATTATTTAAGCATATATAATGCTGGAACAACAAAATAATGAGCATAGTAAAAAAATNATATATATATATATATATATATATATATATATATATATATCATGCACGTAATATAAAAATAATTATTTAAATAAAAGTATTTTTATAATATACATCATATATGGTTGAAAATTATGCTCAATTATATTATTATTCCGTCATTATATGAGCTGAAAATTAATTTTTTATTTTATAAATAAAATATATTTTTCTATAGGTAAGTCCACAATGTAGATTAATAAGAGAAAAAACTTGTACTATTTAAAAAGTTAAAAAAATTGATAATTTAGAGCGTAAAATAGGTATTTGACAATCAAAAATTTGGAAAATCTATTTGAGTGACCTTCTGAGTGTCATATGCATAGTTAAGTGACTTTGTTGTTACAAACGAAAGAAAAGTGACTTTAGGAGATAATTTGGTATAATTGAGTGACCATTTGAGTAATGCGCTCTTATTATTTGTGGGTCCCATTTCTATTAATTTATTAAAATTTTATTTCATTTTCACTTCTCTTCTCTAGTGAACTCCCTCCACCCCACCCCACCCCAAATCAGTAAAAGAAGCTATTGCCGGAAAAAGCCTCCGACCAAAGCCCAAAATCCGAGAAACTCACAGACCATCGAAAAACTTGAGTTGGCCGGAGAACTTACGGGTAAATGTCTCTAATCCGCGACGAATAGTTCACTCTTGGTGCCTACCTACTCATTTTGTTAATTTTCAGCCACCATTTTCGCCCGAAACCCCTAACGCATTTGATTTCAACCATATTAATCACCATATCCGTCAAACCTCCTTCCCACCAAGCCCACTGGCATAGTTCAAACCATAAATAACCTAATTAAATATCCCCTGCCACAAAAATTTAAAGAAAGAAAAAGAAAAAGAAAAGAGCAATGACTAGATTGGATCGAACAATATGGATGCCCTAATCCGTTTCAAGAAAAGATTGATAATTAAAAGAAATGGAAAGGGGATGGGAGATGACATGGAATTGGACATTTGGGAGGACTGGATATGGAACTAAAGAAATGGGGATGAGAGAGGGGGCGAAGTGGGTGGGAGGAAGTGCGTTTTTTATTTTGTTTTGTTATCTTTTCATTAATTATATATTTTTTAATACTTTTTCTATCAAAGTATTACATTCACGCGCTTTTTGAGCGTGGTTTGCACACAATTTGGCCATGTCAGCTATGTTGCCTCCACATAGGCATGGTCAACGATCAAAGTGGTTTATTAGTTAACAAATATCGGAGTTGAAGTGTTCAAATGGAAATTATACAAGTTTGTATATCGGGTTGACAAACAGATACAAGTTTAAGTGGCTACGAGGCCGTTTTGCCTTTCAAGAAATTATTTTCTCTTACCGTTGGTACTTTACTAAAACTCCAAGGGGTCGTTTGGTATAAGGGATAAGTAAAAATAGTGTTGGGATAAAATTTTAATGCCACCTTATACCTTGTTTAGTTACCAAACCTGGGATAAGTTATCTCTGGATTAAATTTAGTACCGGGATAACTTATACCTTGTAGGGGGCGGGATAATTAGTGCTGGGAGTATTATCCTAGGACAAAATAATGAAATTCACAAAAATAGCCCCGAGGTCTTCTTTCCAAATATTCGTTGGGTTCATTTGTTTCTCTTTATGTGCTTGAAAATTATAAACTTTTGCTCATAAATTCTATTTTCTAATTGAATTTTTTTGTATATTAATTCTATTCATTTTTATTATGGCAAAATTAAGTTTTCTTATGGATCATCAACTATTGTCTAATATCAGCAAGAAGATTTAGAAGAAGAAATCAGTAAATATATTTCAAAGAATTGAAAACTAGCGCCTTAAAAAATTAATTAATACTTGTTGATGTAAGAATTGAAAATTGACGAGTCAACTTGATAAAGGAGCAAGAAGATGAAGGCTAAATAAGATGGAGGGTATTTTTGTAAACAAACTTATTCTTCTTAGATATTATGTAATGCATGTTATTTTTAATATAACATACCAAACAATTGATAAAAAATAATATCAGGATAACTAATCGCAGCATAACTTATCACATCATAATCCGTATTCAAACCAAATGACCTGTAAAAGAGTTTAATCCATTTAAAATGGTTTTCACGTGAATATCTTTTTCCTCCAAACTTCCAGCTAGTACTGGTACTAGGCATAGGACAACCTAGTTCATGGCCGAGAAAATTCAGGCCATGTATTAACTTGATAATGTAAATTATTTTTATATTTATCTAAAAGGTAATTGTAATTAAATATTTTATAATAAATATTAATTGTTAACATAATAAAAATAGTAATTGATTTATTTTAGTAAGTTAAACTACATTAATGGTATACATATTTTATGTTGTTATAATAATTAATCTGTTATAGTAGATAAATAATAATAATTAATATGTTATAATAGGTTAAATTATATTGATAGCGTAAAGTTGAAGAAATATATTATCAGTCTCATAAGCTGACCTGCGCAACTACTTCATCACTTGTTGAAAATTTTGAAAGGAAAAAATATATTTCATGCGGTAATTCAAATACAGTATAGTGGAATTGCCAAATCCAATTAATTTTTTTTAGAAAACATTTTTCATTCAACAAACATGCCCTTGACGTCACAAAAGTTTAAGATGTTACTTCCTCCGTTCACTTTTATTTGACATATTTTGACTTTTAACGTCCCTTAAGAAATAATAAATTAAGTGTATAATTTATCATGATACCCATATTAATTGATGTATATTTTATTGGATTTGAGAAAATAATTTAAAATGAGTAATTAATACGGTGAGTATAACAGGGAAAAAAAATTGTCTTCTCTTGATATGCGTAAAGTGACAAGTAAAAATAAAAATTTATTTTTAATATACATACCAAATAAAAGTGAACTGAGGGAGTAAATCTAAATCACTGTCTTAAAGGGATCAACTTGAGAGAAAGGAAGGAGTCGGTGGGGGAAGGGGTTTTATTTGTTCCCATTCAGCAAAAGAATTACACTGTTTATATACAGTTAAAATTATTTTTATAAATATATAATAAATATTGACTTCTCTTGATTTATTCATGTATTTACTTTTTTATATTTTAAATCCCCTTATAAAAATCACAACAACAATTGAGATTAGAGTTGAACTTAATTTAAAGACTGCAAACTTCATCGTACTTGGTTCCTACAGGCAAAATAGCTAGCCTTTAACTTTGAAAAAGGGGGCGCCTTCTCCTAAAAGGAAATAGCTGATTAATTAAGATTTACTAAGATTTAAGACGATTCCCTCTTCTTCTTTCTATCCTATTCACGAACCGCACAACCCCAAAATTTTCTTTCATTAAAATATGATGCAATAAAAACGGTATTTAAGTTACGAGTATACGTTTTATGCACTATTACCTATTACTTATTAGATAATTATGAAAATAATATTTTATTATAAACATTAATTTGTAACTTCCTAAAATAATTCATAACCGTAATTACTATAATAAGTTAAACTATACTGATAAAGTAAAAAAGTTTTACACAATTTCATCCGTGTACATAATTTAGTTCCTTCAGTAAAAGTCAAGTAACAACGTCAACGCATAATACATAATCCAAATTAATTGCGTACGAAGAAGTTGAGTGTAGCAAAAGGTGTAGCCTTGGTCAAGCTTCTATATAAACTAGCACATTTTCAGCTCTTTCGGTCACAACAAGCTGCTCTTTAAAGAGAAAAAAGAGAGAAAAAAGAAAGAATTAAAGAGCAAATTAAGATGGAAGTAATGCAGGTACTTCACATGAACAATGGAGAAGGAGAGTATAGCTATGCCAAAAACTCCAATATCCAGGTTATATATCGTCATCAAATGATTAAAACAGCTGAAATATATTTACTTTCCTGATATATATACTTCCCTTAATTTAGTTCGTATATCAATTATATTTTCTGGTAAAAAAGATTTTTCTTATATTATTGTTTTCCTTGGGCGACACAATAGTTGTTTGTCTCACTATATCTATCAAGGTGGCCACATGAAGATTTATCAAGGTATTTGTGGATCGAATCAATAGAACTAATAATCAAATAAAGAGGTATCAAAGAAAATATTTAAAAAAACTCAAGAAAGTAATTTAGGAAAGAAGACCATTTTCCCAAGAGTGAAAGAAAAAGCTATCAACTTGGCCTACTTTCTAAGCTATATAATATATTATCTTTATCTCTAAAGTTGGATTATCAAGGTCCTGATCCAGCTGAAAAACTATATTCTTCCGAAAATTCTTCTTTTAACCGGTTCTTAAAATCTAATCAAATTCTAGTTTTCATCCCATGAATTTTCATTTAAAAAAGAAATATTAGACCAGTGTTATTGAAATTTGGTTTGATGAATTTGTAGAGGAAGATAATATCAGCAACAAATTCAAGGCTTAAAGAAGCAGTGATAAGCATTTTGAGAAAGAACAAAAAAATGGCAGAAAGCATTGGCATTGCTGATTTAGGTTGCTCCTCGGGACCGAACGCTTTGATAGTCGTCACAGAAGTTATAAATATCATAGACGCAACGTGTCGAAAATCGGGCAGATCGTTGCCGGAGTTGAGAATTTATCTTAATGATCTTCCGGGGAATGATTTCAATGACATATTTAGGTCTTTGCCAGAATTCTTTCACAAAGTAAAAGAAGAGAAAGGTTCAGAAAATTGCTATGTTGCAGGGGTGCCTGGTTCATTTTATGGAAGGCTTTTTCCACTAAAAAGCATGCACTTTATTCACTCTTCCTCTAGTCTCCATTGGCTCTCGCAGGTCAGTATTAATTGTCAATTTGACACTATTACTATTCGAGTTGTTAAACAGATTTTTCTTTAACTATGACTATTATGACTTGGAATAATACTGTTTTAATGTAGTTTTCGAATATGTGAAAGTTTTATTTCAATTTGAAGTTGTTATGTTCGAATTTCGTTGAAAATTTATAGTAGTTTGAGTGATTACTCCCACTACTAGAAATACCGATTTCGACAGACTTTTATCGGTCAAAATTAGGTTGTCGGTAATAAATAGCGACCGAAGTCGGTCGCAATTTCCGAACGATGTCGATCGTTCAATTAAATTTCACAAACGACTGAAAAAGTAAAAATTTACCGAAAAAACCGACAGGATAGTATTCTACCACTAGACCATTGGTACATTTTGGTCTAAGACTTTTTTTTATTTTATTTATATTCTTTCGTTGCATTTTCGCACGAAAATATTATTAAAAGTATAAAATTACCGACCGAAGTTAGTCTGTTATATGAAAAATCAATCGATTTCGGTCGACTTCTTAAAAATTAAATTTCGCAAGATGCAAAAATAATTTTCCGTATTTTTATGCCAAAAAAACGATCAAGTTGGTCGATTTTATAAAAAAAAATTAAAAAATTAAAAAATTTTGAAAACTAGAACTATATCTTATCAGGACATAAGTTATTCTTAACACTATATATCTTCTTGTCAGTTTTCTATGTTTGTTTTTCTCTCACAATCAAAATGAAACAAGAAGTAGGGGCACTTCAATTAATTGCAATAGGTCGAGGACAAACTAAGGAATTGACTTCATAACTACTATATCTACCCTACCATTTTCATGCGAATCAGTTATTTTAGCTGGGGGTCCATGGTTAAGCTCGGTCGGTTATTTTATAAAATTTATATCATATTAATTTTTTGGTTATTTTATTATGTATAATCAAAATTAGACTTTTAGAAATCGTATCGATCATGTCGGTTTTTCTTCGGTATCGGTACGGTTCGGTTAATTTTTGGTATTTTTTTAAATGTCACTTAAAAGTCACTAGTAGAAGTAGAATGCAACAACATACATACTTTTATAGAACTTAGCAAAACTCTCTAGATATTTTTACTATTTAAAGAGTGATGAATTAAGAAAACATGAAAGATAGCGAGAGTATAAATCCATCAACTATTCTACAACAGCGTAAAAGAAACTATGCAAAGACAAAGAAAATATAAATCACACGAGTGGAAAGATATTAAGTAAGTTGGGACTCAAAAATAAAGTCTATAGAAGATTAAATATTCGAAAATATAAATTTAAATCATACGAAAGAAAAAATATTTAATACATTGTAGTTTGCTACTCATAATTGCTAGAATACCTTGTGTCTTGCTAGTGAATATGTTGGAAATAATTTAGTTTCAATAGTAGTATAATAGGTTTGGGAATAAGGATTTTAAGTTTAATTACTTGTTGACTTGTAATCGTTTTCATAATTTCAAGGCCCAAGAAAAATGTTAATACTTTATTATTTTTAAACTTAATATATAAATATATTTTTCAATGTAAATTTATTCGGTACGGTTCGGTATTTTTTTCGGTTTATTTTCATAAAATAAAAAACCTACCCTAATTATCGGTACGATTATAGATTTATATAAAAATCTACGGTTTTATTAAAAAAAACCTAAAAATCGGTTCGGTTCGGTGCGGTGCGTTTCGATCGGTTTAGTTGGTTTTTAAATATTTATTGACACCCATAATTTTAGGCACCCTATTTTTATACTATGAATCTTTTTTCTTACCAAGGGTGTTTTGGTACGAAGAAAAAAAAATTACTTAAATAATTTGAAAAATATTTTTCGCTGAAGTCATTTTTCTCCGTTCAATATTCTTCCCCCCCCCCCC